GCCGTCGCGTCGTAACACCGTTAGACGCTATGCTCCCCGTAGACCAGGACACCAGCGGAAATGTCAGCGTTGACGACTTCGTTGAGAAAGCCGAGGAAGCCCGCCAGCTTGCACGGAACCGCATTCGCACGCAGCAAGATGTCGACGCTCGCCGTTACAACCAAGGCCGAAGGAACGTCCACTATCAACCAGGTGACTATGTATTCGTGTGGACACCTGTCCGACATCGTGGGCTTTCGGAGAAGCTATTGCGACGCTACTTTGGCCCTTGGGAAGTCAGGCGCTGCCTCAGTGACGTGAATTACGATGTAGTTCCCCAAAGCTCGGATACCAATTTAAGCCGACGACGTCCATGTCCAGAAGTTGCCGCCGTAGTACGAATAAAACTGTACCACGCCCGCGAGTTATGAGCACTTCGAACTTTTTTTATTATCTACAACAGCACGGAATCATTATTTTTTTTTCGTTGACGTGACCACCTTTCTCCATGGCCATCTCCAGCATCTCCGTTTCGCTAGCTCCACATGTACAAACTCGGTATTAAGCGACGCGAAGGGGAAATTGACGCAAGTGTAGGCTGGCAACTATAGTGGCCAACATCTGAGGAGGATAACAAAGTAGTTCTGTGGGTCGCGTGCTTGGTGTTCGTGCTTTTGGCCTTTGGTCACGAAAGTAAACGCCCTGCTTTTGTGCCTGCATCCCTGTGTCTTTGTGACAATATCTGGGTGCTCTTGTGGTTGCCTTCCTAAAGAAGCCCTGCAACATTTTTTGTCTGCTTTCTGCTGCACTAGTGTGTGTGAAGTGCCAAATACTGAGATTAATGCTTAAAGAATTATAAATTTTGTGCATGGTAACCTAAGTTGATGCTGGTCGCGCCTGGCGTCAGACTATAGAGTGCTCGCGTTTTCCTAACGTAGCGTCGCTGTGCCCAGCATGCATGCGCGTCAACGCTACGTTGGAGTATATTGGGGCCTTTCATGACGCACTCATGGCCGTTTTTCTAGCTCCACATATACCAATTTTGGTACTACATGACGTAAATGGATGACGAACTATATGACTGGTGCAATGAATGATAATCCTGATTCGCGTGTCATGTAAGAACATGACAACTTACCACGCTCATAGCGTACTCGCGGCCGTTTCGTTAGCTCCACATATACTAAATTTGGTATCACGTGACATGAACAGATGACGAAGGTAAATGAGACATCCAAACATAATAATCATGACACGGAAGTCATGTGCGGCATCATTTACTTCCACCTCGTAACGTTCTGCTGGTTTTAAAGTGACATATCAACATTTATCATTCGTGCTTCGCATATCATCGATTCCCACTGTACGTGGCATACGCCGATTTTTTCTTTGTTTGTGATTTGACAAGGTCACGCATTGGCCCAGTCAGTGACCCTTTTTCTCCTCCTCTATAACTTTCCTTCCGCCCCTACCCTTCCCCAGTGCAGGGTAGCCTACCGGGGCTCAGCCCAACACCACCTAGAGGAAAGTCTCGGTGGCGTTGCTCAGCCCCGGTAGGCTACCCTGCACTTCTCTCCTTCACCTCTCTGGTTAACCTCCCTGCCTCTCTCCTTATGTTCTCTCTCTCTCTCTAACGTATAGCATCACTGTGCCCAGCGTGTGCGCGCGTCAACGTCTCATTGGAGTATATTGGGCCCTTCATGATGCACTCGCTGACGTTTCGCTACATCCACATGTACCAAATTTGGTGTTACGTGACGTCAACGGATGACGAAGGTATATCACTGGTGTAAACATGGTAATTTTGACACGCGTGTCATGCAAGAACATGACAGCATACCACGTTCATAGCGTGCTCGCGGCGATTTCGCCAGCTTCACATAAAAAAAAAAGATGTTCCCGCGTGCATTTCACTCTCTCACTGAAGTCAGATGCTGGTTCCAATCATCACTTGTCTCTTACAGAGACATGCCGGAAGGCTCTCTTTGTAGTGGCTGTTGTGCAGCACACTTAGCATAATTTTGCAGTTGTATTCAAAAATTTTACAATTAAAATCAAATTATTTTGTGTCTGAGAAAGTGTAAGAAGTATTTTTATCATGTTTAGCTCACAAGATTGCGGCCTAGTTGGAACCATATGAATATCGCAAGCGAATTGTCACGTAAAACCACCCAAACGATCGGCCGATGATGTCACTCCCACACGATAAACCGTCACTTCTAATCACAAAAAATGGCGGTTGTGTGTCGCTCTAGTCCAAAACCAATGAGGCTCTTCCTTTTTTTTTTTCGCATTTCCATTTGTGCAAAGATATCAATGTATTCCACAGTTTGAGAGGAAGCAATGAAAATGACATTCAATTTGTGTTGCAGGGCTCCTGTAACTCGGTATAGGCCAAAATTGGCATAGAAGAGCAAGAGGGTACAACGAACATGACTCTCTGATCGTGATTTAAAAAGGAGAAAATCCTGTTGTATGTGTGACAAAACCCTTACCTCTAGTCACCTGTGGCACATACTTGTATCCCAAAGGCCGGGATATGCAACTGTATGCCACTTATGATTCATAGTTTATATCTATACAAGAACAGGCATTGGTCCTTTAAACATGAGAGTGTTAAGAGTCGGGCAGTGTTCAATTGACAAATGCACAACCCAGAAATTGAATTCTGTGTGACAGTCATGTATTCCACTGCAGAGCCATGCAAGATTTTCAAACTGTTTTCAAAAAAGGTCTTACGCAGAAAGCATGTGGTGGAGGGGGGGGGGGCGGCTAGTTGGTAAAGCATGGAAAACATAAAACTACGCCTAAAATACGACACAAAATGAAAGAAGTGGACAGGACCAGCGCAGTCCCGTGTGCTAGCACTGGTCCCATCTACTTGTTTTATCATGTGTCTTGTTTCTAAGTGTAGTTCGATGTTTTCCATATCCTCTGCAGGCGTCGTGGCGGTGCATCGTCAATTGTGGTTGAAGTACTGACGATCTAATTTCATAACAGAGTAATAAACTTTACATATGTACCCCTGTGATATAAGTGTCATGTTGGGTCAATATCAATTGTAGTTCCAGTGTTGGCTCCGCTTTTGTAATAATCATGACACATTTACTCTGATCACTCAGCATGCACTTCTGTTCAATAAAACTGATGTTTATGCTCAAACGACAGTGCTGACTAAACGTTTAGTTGGAACATAAGTTACTCTTTAAACGTCAGTGTGTTCGAGATGCCTGGTAAGCTCATGATGTGCAGACGACTGCTACATTTGCGTAGACACATCAATCTACCTCGTAACGCTTTGCTCAAAGCCAAAAAATGCAGCATAGACAAATGCTCACCGACTGCTTTGCATAAAACTGATTCCGGCACTGCGAGGAATTTGAAGAGTTTATATATATAAGCTTAGCTGTAAAAACTGCGTTAAATATTTCAGTTCAACTAACATTGAAGAAATGTTAGGCTTCCAAGCACTATGTAGACTTGTTCCTGTTCAATTAGAGCTTCTGACGAGACTTTTCTACAAAATGTTGTGTAAAGGAACCCACAAACATCATTTGCACAAGTAAATTGGTAGAAGCCAAAACAATGATGCAAAAAAAAACCATAATCTTTCTTGAAAACATGCTTTGTGGCAGTGCCTTTTTTTACACTTTTTTTCTTTCTATACTCAGATACAACTTAACAAAAAGCGGCTTTTCACTGTCAAAGAACCTTTGTCGAGCCGATGGCATCGCCATGTCAATGTGACCCCACAGCAGACCGCCTTGACGCCGCGCTCATGAGAAGAATCGCTAAGGAGCATGTCAAAGCATGTAACAAAGCAGCCACAACACCATTGGCTAAAGGGGGTGTCCTTAGACCACGAAAAGCCACTTTTTCTTGAGATGTATTTGAGTATAGCAACTGAAGTGCCCTCTGTTGCTTAGACTTTCAGTCTTTATTGAGGCATCAGTAGGCAAATTGGCTGACACATACATTATGACATTTTTTCATGTATACAGGAGTCGTAGCATGTGACTAGGTTGCAAAAGCTTAATGACGACAAACAGATTAGAGTGTGCTTATTATGTAGTGTTTGGTGTCATGTTAATAAATGTATAAATACTGATAATAATGGGCCAGATGACCACATTGTCGAGTAAGGCAGCTGTTACGGCCACTCACAAATTCGTTGGTGGGCATTCAAATTCAAGAGCAGTGAAGACTTATGCGATAGCTCTGATTGTCAATGAGCATACACTGGTTTTACTCACTAGTGGGTTAATAATTGTGCATCATGTGCGTAAGAGCACTGAACTAGACTAGTTAATGCATGGCAAAGCGGAACAAACAATGTAATGAAAGGACTTCATTAAGATACTAATCCAGCGAAAGACTGCCGTATGCACGACTTAGAGCCAGTTCTTTGTCCAGGATTTTGGATTACGTTTAGGACATGTTACCAAATCAAAGATTAGAAGTTCTGGGGTGATACAAGAAGAGCTCTCTATTGACCTCTGCAGTCTTTAAAAAAACAAAAAAATGAAGAAGTGTTTGGGGATGTTTTTAAAGCACAGCTTAGGGTTATAAAAATAAATGAATTTAGGAAAAAAATTACAACCAAAATCCCATTTTATTTTGCAATAAAACTGAAAACTTGTGAATGTCCGGGAGAGATGTTACAGGAAAAAACTAGCACTAAAAGCACATAAATTTTGTTTACTTCTCTATTTTCTTTCAGCATAAGCTCCATACCACAGGGCACATGGGCATATTAAACTAGGATTCAGTGCCATCTTAACTTTCAAAACTTCAAAGCAATGTTTATTGCCAAGTGCCCAAATTAAGAATACCGTAATAGATCTGTGTTCTGGTAGACAGTGTCACGCCCTCTGAGGCTTGAAGCTCGTGCTCTTCTATCTGTAAAAAGAACTTCGTCTTTTCAAGAAAATGTAGAAAATGGAGCCGATTTAGCATTCTGACCGCTTCAGTGAAGACATATTTGGCTTGCATATGGTGCTGCAGTGAGAAAAAGCATCAAGTCAGACAATAAAGTACCGTTTATTGGAAAACTTCATGTATAACGACCACACATGTATCTGCATTGCATGTAGTTGTCAATACTCTTAGTGAATATGCTATGCATTTGCATGATTCTAATCTGATAATGTGGTATACTTCCTATTTACAGCTCTGTACAAAAGAATGCACTTCATTCTGAACACTCACAACAACATAAAATCATGAGAGTGACATATAACATAGATGGGTGGGAAAAAAAAAAATCTAACACTGGTAAACTAAAATGGCAGTGGTGTACTCTGTGTAAAATCAAAACTTTGGCAATTTTGAATTTAGACATTTTGCTCTAAATACCCTTTGGCAATATACGTCGAGATGAAATAAAAACAATTTAGGTTCAAAAAACAGGAACCACTTGTATAAATAATTTGAAAATTCTTGTAGGTGTATAACAAATACTCGGGCCTTAAATAAAAATGGCTGATTCAGTAATAACAGATGAACTGACCAGGTAGAAACACTACTTCTTGCTAAAATGAAAACTAAACGACTGCATAGCATACCCACATGCTGCATCGCTCGCTCATTAGACTGGTTGCATCTGGCCAATGCAGCACCAACTGCTGCACCCATTGCTAAAGTGACAGAACTAGGCCCCACAATGCCATTCTCACTGCAATGGTTGCTCATTAATCAAGGTAACCAAGGCCACTGTCACAAAGTGATGCTGGTACATTAACAGTTTTCATAACTTATATTGAAGATGTTCTCTGTACAAGATGAACAATGTTAAGGACTGTCGCTGCCTTACAGAAAAGATAAGATTCATAGATTTTTTTTCATCATGAAATAGAACAGCACTATGCCAATATTTACACCTTGGAGGCATTGTAGTATCTTGGAAGTCGTCTAGCAAAAAGCAGCATAAACTTCTCTCTAAAGAGGTACAGCTAAGTGCTATTCACCAAGCTAAGTTCCTTGGAAGAGCACATCTTGTCAAGTACAGTTTTGCATTGCTGCGTTTTAATGCTTGCAGAGTGAAATCTTGGAGGACTCTGAGCCTGTACTTTGAATTACAGTTGTTTGGCTCGTGGGAACGGCAAAAGCTGCTCAGATGTACCTGTGAAGCTGCATGACTTATCATGCAACAAGCTTGCATTTTTCTGCCATCATTGCTTAATGTGCGTCATTAACGTCGTTGAGAGATCACCCTGCCTTGAATGCTTTTCATGACAAGTGCTTTGCAAGTATGCAATCTGGCAGATAAATGCATGCACATACACACACTAACACACTACTAGGCAAGACAACAGCTGCAACAATAGCACAAATAACAAAACTGAGCCACTGCAGACACTTGTAAAGGGTTGCTTAAAAACTGAAGGCAATGCCAATCTTTGCAGCAAATGCCGTAAGGAAAGCATGATGAGCATAAAAAAGATGCAGAGGTTAAGAATGCACTATTTCAAAGTGTCAGCTTTTTTCATGTGACTGGAACACCACTTAACGATGGTGGCATATACATGAGAGAGCCAAGCAATACGTCCGTGACTTGCGGATGAATATCTAGCAGCAGACAATATGACAAATAGTAACAGCTGCAAATGACATTTTATAATGTACCCAGAGAATTTCACTTGGCCTTCATGCTTGATAAACACTTGAGATGTGAAATATTAATTCGACATGAACATTTATAAATTATGGTAGTCTGATGCCCATATGTTAGATGTATCAAGTAATGTCAAACTCTGTGCTTAACAAGCTTGAGTGCCAAGTTACCAACAAAGAAACTGGTAGGCTGCTATTTGAATGACTTGCCCCTGACTTGCTAGCAAGGCAGCTGTTGATGAAATCATGGCATGCTTAAATGAACAAGTAGATGGTGACAAGGATGACAAAAAGAAAGCAATGCCCTCATCCCTCTCAACATCTGTGAGTCTAAGTGCCAGCATAGAATGCCCTAGAAGACTTCTTGTGTGCCAACCATGTGCTTAAACAAAGAGATTGCCTCAAACATGTTTTATCACCGTACACTTTGTCATGACAAAAAAAAAGAAGAAAAAAGGTTGCAGTTTAATGGCTGTTCATTGGCATACTAAGGAATGATACCAACAACTTTGATTATTTTTGGCAGAATAACAGTATATAATAAGTGAGCTGCACAGTAGTGCACAAATTAAAAACTAATCCTTTGATTGATGTTTCATTTAGTGACACAAAGTGACCTTGATTGCTCTAGATTGTTACATTTGCACTAATATGTGCAGCATGAGAATGCTTGTTCAGAGAGTAGCCTGCAAAAGAGAGAGTTATTTTTTTCTGCCTCAGAACAACTTACTTCTACAATTGGAGGTACCTTGATTCTTCGAGGGGTAAACTTAGTGCCCGGTCTAGAAAAGTCAATTGCACCATTACCACACAAATATTGAGTCATTCTGTGAACAGAGTTAACCAAGAAGCTAGCAGTTAGCGTTGCAAGCCTTAATTTAATTACCCAGCAACTTGAACTGCTGGGTGCTTAAAAAACCCAAATCAGTCAAAAGATTTTTGTTGAACAGTAAAGTCTGATAATAGTTTCACACAATGCAAGCTTATTCATAGGTTGTGCATTTTTTTTTGTCTTGAATGCACATGAAAGACTGGTTCGCAGTGAAAAGCAATGGCATGGATCCAAGGAGAAAAGATACAACACACTGTTGGACTATAAACTGAGCAGTGATTAATCAGTTTGCCTCATAAATATACCATATGAAACAGCACAAACGAAGCAATGTTCTTTACTTCTGATGTGCCAATGATCCATTTCACTTGATGGTGCACTATTGAATGATTGTCCACAATTACGTATGGCTAAGGTATAAAATTTCGAGCATTGGGACCTGCTATTTTTACTTGAAAACTTTGCTGTAATGAAATCGATTAAAAACACATCATTACTGTGACAAGCAGGATTAAACACTGCCTCTTTTGTACTGTATGTTCAGCTATGTCATCCAGTTGCTAATCCAGCAGTGTGTTGTCTGTGTTTTTTCTCAATGTCAAAGTGAGTAGTTTCTGCTAAAAATCCCCTTTGTTTTTGTTAAATGGTGTTCAACCTAAGTGATTAATTGATAGTATTCAGGGCCCCAAAGCAAGAAAATGGGTGATAAGATATGATATAGTGCAAGCTCTCGAAATAGTTTTGAGCACATGGAAAAAGTTACTGTGCACTGGAAGCTTAATACACAAGGGCCTTTCATCAGCCTGAAAAAAAGCATAAAATATATTACAAAGTGGTTTACACCAGTGAAAACGGGTCATTACCTAATACTTAGTGCTGCACATAAAGTGTTTAGCTTTAAGAATAACTAAAAAATTAAGCATTTACATTCCTTTTTTTTAATATTTTATGTTTTTAAAGCAAAAAATGGCCTGTTTTGTATACGTGCACTGCTCAACGCACACACTTAGTTCGTGACAACCTTCACAGAGTGCCAGCTTTAGTTGCATGAAAATACTGATCTCAAGAGTTTGACGCTTGTTCAAGGGGCCAAGTGACCTCATTCTCGTAGTCTACTGCCTCAACAATTTTTTGAATCTGTCAAGCACAAGCGGAGTTACAAGGATTGTTGCATGCTTTAAGCACTTTCTCACTTCTTTAGTCGAAACAAATTTGCTGAAAGTTATTAAGGGGAGATGACAAAGGGGTAAGATATTGTACCAGTATGCATCATGACCTTCAGCACTTTCTACAGTTTTTTTTTTTTTTGAACGCATCCGCTCACTTTTAGCAAGATCATGAGCACGCTTGTGATCAATTATAACATTATAGAGGGTGGCCTGGGTATGTGGCAGCACACCATGGCGGCCGCGGTGACTATGCAGCACACAAATGCTCAAATCAGCCAATGGTCATGTCTTTCCGCCTATGGTGTAGTCAAGGCACCTTATCACGGAATTCGGTGACAGAAGTATGAGCGACCTCTAGCTGTCTGAAACATAACTGTGAATTCCTTACCGCATGTAGTGCTGTATTATTTGGCTCACATGCTCACGAGAGTTGTGAACTACTGATTGGCAGCATTTTCTCACCATGTTCAAAACATTTTGCAGGGCCGGAAATGGTAGCTGCGCCTACTTAGTTAGAAGCCAGACTTTTTCACATGAGGCAGGGAAAATGTTGGGAATGTTTTCACGTGTCTCCTGCTTGCCTCGATGGCACCAGATGCTGGCACCAGCTGTCTTGTCCTCACCCACTACACTCTAAGCAGACACCCCAAAGGTGAACTATGTGAACGTTGAAGCAAACTACTGTATTTCTGTCTCCCTTTTGTACAGTGCGAACGGGGCACTTGGAGACAAGAAGAGCAAAGGAAATTGAGCCTTCTCAGATCTGCAGTTAACAAAAAATTATAAGGATCAGACTGGAGAAAAGAAAGCAGTGTATAATGCTGCACGACGATATCGTAATGTTAAGCTTTAAAAGCTCCTCTATGCGGCCTGAAATACAGATTATATACTGTACAAAAGCAAGTGTTTTGAAAAATTTTTATAGGGCTTTGAAAGATATGTATAAAGAAAAATATGCATAAAGCAGCATGGAGACCTCTTCCAAAAAGTTACAACGAATAAAATTTTTAAAAAATGTGGGTCATACACATAAAAACATAGGCTAGCTTTTGCTAGTCAAGTTTCATCAATAATATCACATTGCTGTGCTGGTACATGTTATTGTGCGTGGCTAATCCTACAAAAAAGAAAAAAACAAATAAGCTTCAGACTTCTGTAGCTATTTTAACAACCATTCATGATAAAATATTAAATATCTACACTTCCAGTAGGTGCATGAAAAGACACAGAAAAACTTTTGACCAGAAATGTCCCTCACTTGTGAGAAAAACATATATATATATATATATGTGTGCAGGCCAACGACTTCCTTAACATTATGAAGGGAAATATCGGCTAAGTGTGGCATTGGGCTAGTTGGTACTCTATTATCGAACAGCTCAGCGCAAAAGTTTAGACAACACATACAGAAACGGTGAGGCACTGCTCCTCGACTTTTCTGAGTGCGTTGTCTAAATTTTTGCACTGAGCAGTTTAATAAAGGAAATGTCAGACTGGCAATACCTACCCGTAGAGGTCACCAGAAGAGTTAAATCATGAAGACATTTTCAACGAAGATAAAGAGATAACAACCTCAAAAGCATACACACTTCAGCTTTCTGCTTGCATTCCTCATTACTTGATACTGCCAGAACATTTTGTTACACCATTAATATTTAGTAAAAGAATGACATTCAATATTTGTGAATACTAATCACTTATTCTCAATTATATTGCAGTTCATAAGATATTAAGTTTTGCTGGACCTGTTCAATAAACGAGTGGCCTGTTTGAGCATTCTTTCACTCAGAGACAGCACTAAGCGCACTGAAGGGTAGTAATATAGATATATAGCCCATTCATAGATGTACCACCATTTACAACGTACCAAAGCACCAAGGATAAAGATGAGAAGCAGTAGGTTATGTGCTGCTTTGCTGAGGACATAAAGGTATCAGCAGCAACATAATGCCTTGGCATATACTGCGTGATTTTTTTCCTTGACAAAGACAGCCATGTAGACAACAAATATTTCTTATGTGTCATAATTTTCTTTCCATGAGATGTCACTGTTAGTGCTGCTGACACCTATGCCTAATGTTTTGCTACTTTGTAAATAGCAATACATATAGCATGGGCAGTCAAACTAAAATAATCTCATTTCTTTACCTCTCTGCTCCCACTGCCTTTTTTTCTCTGCTGTATAGCAATGATTATAATTAGCATTCAATTTGATGATCAAAATAGTAGTTTCTCCATTCCTTCAATTTGATATGATTTAAATTGTTTTTTTATTAGTAGTCTCTAAAATAAATTCACCCTGCCATAAAGATCAAGGCCAAAGAATACCAATGTGTGGCACCTGCATTTCATCTGTCTCAGGGAAGCAGACAAAGAACCTGCAAGCATGTTATAGGGAGCTGGCCTCATCACTCGTTAGCCAGCAGTACAAACACTTTTTACACAGGTGAAAGCAAGCAGAAAAGGTGAATGCATTGTGCTGCCCAAGAACTCTGAGAAACTGCACAGCAGTAGCTCCTCACATCATGCACACATTTCCGTGATTGACTACACTTGTGTTTGAGGCTTATGTTGTGCAAATTCTCGGCTGGCACACTAGAAGCTTCCCAGTGCACTCCTGTCTGGGCCAAACTAGAAACACTTCTGGTATGGGTTGATGGCAAAAAATGAGGGCAGGGGCACATGGGGTGCCTCCCAGGACTGTGCCTGGTCAGCTGGCCGCAGCGCCGACGTAGGGAACCCATCCTCATCCAACCTTTCTGAAGAGATTTTGGCTTTTTTCTTCGATGGCCGTTCTCCATTAGCCTTCTCCAGCTTGCGAACCTCCATCTTTTTCTCCCACTCTTCCTCGCCATGGTTCCTGAAGTTAAGGTTCTTGTGCTGATAAAAGACAAGGCTGATGCGGGTGGGGTTCTTGCGGTCGGGCCGCCGGAGTGCAGTGGTAGCATGGAGCTCATGCTTAGCACACTCAAATAATACAGACCCATGTGTAAGGGCAATGGCCACACCACCAATTTCCGGATCCTGGAACACTGCTTCGTTGTCTGAGTCAACTTCATAGATGCCTTCCTCCTCAGCCTTGGGTATTTCCACCCTAGGGAGGCCCTCATGACTAGCTGGGCGAGGCACAAGTCGTGGAGGGCCAACTGGTTGGCTTCTCTGAGTATCCTCCATGACTGAACGAAATGTCTGCAAGTGCCGCTCAAAGCCATTCGGTGCAGTCTGCGCTGGCATAAAAGTGTTCTTGAAGGGGGGAAGCACACTGGCGCGCTCCTGCATGCAACGGCCTTGCGGTGGTGGTGTCGCAAGACCTGCAACAGGAGGTGTCTGCATGCCGTAGTCTTTTGGCGGTGTGACTGCTGCTGGGAAGCACTGACCACGAGGCGCATAATAGGGGCCTTGGAAGCCTGCACTGTAGTCACGGTCGGAGGCCCACGCTGCTGCGTCCATGTAGGGCACTTGGGGGAAGGGGGCACCCTGACTGTGGCTCCTTGCTGCTCCGTAGGGTGGATCGACAGGCATTCCAAAGCTGCCAGTCATATAGTACGGGGCCCGCATGTGAAGTGGCGAGTCCATTCGCACAGGGTTCAGTTCAGTCAGCCTCGGTGTGCTAGGTGGCGTCATAGGAGTGACCGGAGGACTGGGATGAGGTGGAAATGTTTCATGAGGTGAAGGTAGAAAGCTGCCACTTCTGGAAAAACCAGGTGCACTGTAACCAGCGTTTCGAGCGATGTGTGGAGACACTGCCTGTGGGACATACGATGGTGGAAGCATAACACCTTGGGACGGAGTCTGGGAGATGGGGCTGAATGTGGCGTTTAGAGACTGATGATGGTATGGTGGCATGGAAGCACTTCTATCCACAAATGGTGAGTAGACAGCATGGCCTCCACTGGGACGGCCTAATTCGAGGTTCTGCAGGTGATGGTTGGAAACCGAAGCCAAATTCTGCAGGTGGTCGATGCTGTGGCCTTCCACCGGGGGGCCATCCTGCCCACTGTGAGGCAAGTAGCTTGAATAGTGGTACCTGTCGACCATCCTGTACTTATAATAGTTCATAGCCAAATGATGATCCTCAGGAGGAGTGTCCGGAATGGTAGTCATCATGGGGCTTTGAGGGATGGTACAAAGACCTGCCATCTTTTGTGTTCCTTGCTGTGAGTAATTTCCCGTAAAGTAAGGATTCCCATAGGCAAGATCTTGTTGAGGCTGAAGATATGGCTGATTAAATGGACTGGAATCCTTGGTATGATGCGTTCTTCCTGAAGTATGAGGTGACAAGATTTGAGGCATACCTGAGGTTTTATTTAATACTTGGCTTTCTTTGTCCAGGGTACTCTGAATGCAGGCTTCGCTGGAATTTTCCTTTTTCACCACCACTTTCATGTCATCTTTGCCTGGACAAGGAATATGAGATTCAGCACAAGGAGAATTCGGTTTCTGCACAGAGAAACTGCCTTCTGGCGCTGATGTATCATACTGGCAAGACATGGGGGGCAAATATTCATTTTTCACTTTGTATCCTGGGGCACATGTACCATAGGACTTGGATGTAGGAGGCTCACTAGTAGTAGGTTGAAAACTAGACTGCTGCTGAGATCGAAAAAGGCCCATGGGAATCTCGAGCCTGGGGTTACCAAGCTCTGATTCATGCTTCACTTGAGGCACACCTGATTTGTACTTCTCTTCGAAAGGAGATCTGTGGTAGGATGGTGCTTCAAAATTGGGACTGAAGACTGGTGATGGCATCGTCTGTGATGCATAGCCTTCATCTGTCTGTGCCTGAAAAGATATGCCGTAGAACTTTTACTGCTACAATGCCACGAATAAACATAGACTGAACATAACAAAATGCGACTGTTTGCATAACTTACTTACACATTGAAAAAATATTAAAAGGTTCTCATAGAAAACTACACAGATGCCCTTCTCTGTATAGGCTTCTTTGCACAGACTGCTGAAGAATGGCTTCTATACTGCTTTCATAACCAGAAAAAAGTGCAGACTAATGCACACAACATCGAACATAATTGAATGAGCATTCAGTTGAACATTGCATGAGCCTGATATACAGGAAAGATAAAACCTGCCAAGCCTTGTAGAACCTCATTGATACATACATTACTATACATATTTATAATGTTTAACCAGTTCTAATGTTCTGAAACAGTGGTTCCACCTAGTTACCATAGGGTCAGCATATTACTATCTCATTTTTCATGTTTTTCTTTCCAGTTGTTATGTCTAGAAACTAACTACACAACTGACATGGCATTATCCATCGGGAGTGTCTCTGTTAACTACTGCATGTCACTACTGAAAAACAGGAATTTCACAGTGACACTTTCGCAGCAGGATGACCACTGTCATTTTGAGACAGACGCCAGCTGCCAATGCCAACATAGCTGCTTGCAACACCTATAGCAAAGGCAAGCTGGTCGAGGTTACTTGCAGTCACCTCATAACAACATTTGCATACACTGTTGTAGCCTTCAATTTACCTTGCACAACTACTTCTGAAATGCACACACCACAGAAACTGAAAAACAGCTGTGAGTGTTCAAAAAGAGTTTTCTGCGTCGTATGCATTTCAGTGGTGATGCATCAACAGAGGTATAACAAAGCTTTTGTCACTTATTGCAACAAAACCTCGAGGAATTGACAAACTGACCTCGGAGTTTAAATTTTGCTGAACTGCATGCACTGCTTCATCAGGATTCTTCTCTTTCCGCCCACGTTTCTTGCAGGGGCCCAAAGGTACCTTACGTATCCTAGTTGTCGTGTGATATTTAGTGAGTACTTCCAATGACCCTGTTTTTACCTGAGTGAAGAACAGAGAAAAAAGTGTCAGTATACTACAGAATTCACTGTACTAAGTGCAGTTCTAAAAATATGTGTACCAAGCAACACTTCATACTTAAATATGATTAACACCTTGACATTATGACAAAAATTCAATATCACCATCATCATCATCAGCCTGACTACGTCCACTGCAGGACAAAGGCCTCTTCCATATACCGCCAGTTAACCCGGTCCTGTGCTTGCTGCTGCCAATTTATGCCCGCAAACTTCTTAATCTCATGTGCCCACCTAACCTTCTGTCTCCCCCTAACCCGCTTCCCTTCTCTGGGAATCCATTTTTTTACCCTTAATGACCAGCGGTTATCCTGTCTACGCGCTACATGCCCGGCCCATGTCCACTTCCTTTTCTTTATTTCAACTATGATATCCTTAACCCCCGTTTGTCCCCTAATCCACTCTGCTCTCTTCTTGTCTCTTAAGGTTACACCTACCATTTTTCTTTCCATTGCTCGCTGCGTCGTCCTCAATTTAAGCTGAACCCTCTTTGTAAGTCTCCAGGTTTCTGCTCCGTAGCTAAGTACCAGCAAGATACAGCTGTTATATACCTTCCTCTTGAGGGATAGTGGCAATCTACCTGTCATAATTTTGAGAGTGCTTGCCGAATCGGCTCCACTCCATTCTTATTCTTCTAGTTACTTCAATCTCGTGGTTCAGCTCTGCAATTATTACCTGCCCTAAGTAGACATAGTCTTTTACAACTTGAAGTGTACTATTACCTATCTCGAAGCGCTGCTCTCTTCCGAGGTTAGAGCATCCGCCTTGCATGCAAAAGGTCCAAGGTTCAAATCCCGGTGCCGCGCAGTTCCCAACCGGGAAAAAAAAATCCGCGTAGTGATAGAACTGCATTAAGAGGCCTGGGGTGCGGCCTCACCGGTAACCACCGCCGGGAATGCACTCCCTCACCAGAGAAGAATTGGCCACCCTGGTGCAGTATCTGGCCACTACCTCCCACATGCATACGTCAAATAACTCACGGCCCTCAGTCCCCAGCAGCTGCGAAGCAACTGACCACGGCGGCGGTCAGATCTGCAATGCCACAGAGGGTGCTAAGAATCTCTGGATCCGGACAGGCCGCCATTGGAACCTGAACTTGGCAACGTTTAACGCTAGAACCTTATCTAGTGAGGGAAGTCTAGCTGTACTATTCGAGGAGCTAGAGGGTGTTAAATGGGATATAATAGGGCTCAGTGAGGTTAGACGGACAGATGAGGTCTATACGGTGCTGCAGAATGGGCACGTCCTTTGCTGTCGGGGCTTGGCAGACAGAAGAGAACTGGGAGTGGGGTTCCTAATTCACAGAAACACAGCTGGCAACATAGAGGAATACTATAGCATTAATGAAAGGGTGGTAGGTATCGTAAAAAAACTCAATAAAAGATACAAGATGAAGGTGGTGCAGGCTTACGCGCCTACATCCAGCCATGATGACGCTTCAGTTGAAAGCCTCTATGAAGACGTGGAATCGGCAATGAGTAAGGTAAAAACACAGTATACTATAGTGATGGGCGACTTTAATGCAAAGGTAGGGAAGAAACAGGCTGGAGACCAGGCAGTAGGAGATTATGGCATCGGTACTAGAAACGCCGGAGGAGAACTACTAGTAGAATTCGCAGAACGCAATAATTTACGGATTTTGAATACCTTCTACCGAAAACGAGGAAACCGCAAGTGGACATGGAGGAGCCCTAATGGCGAAAATAAGAATGAAATAGACTTTATAATGAGTGCACATCCAGGAATCGTGCAGGATGTGGAAGTGGTTGGCAAGGTACAATGCAGTGACCATAGAATGGTACGGTCTCGAATTCGCCTAGACTTGAAGAAGGAAGGACAGAAACTGATACGCAAGAAGCCAATCAATGAGCTAGCACTGAGAGAGAAAGTACAGAAATTCAGAGTGTCGCTGCAGAACAGGTACTCGGCTCTTAGTGAGGAAACCAACCTTAGCGTAGATACAATGAATGATAACCTGACGAGTATCATTACGGAGTGTGCAGTGGAAGTTGGAGGCAGGGTAGTTAGACAGGACACTGGCAAGCTTTCCCAGGAAACGAAGAATCTAATTAAGAAGCATCAAATCATGAAAGTCTCAAGTACAACAGACAAAATAGAACTGGCAGAACTTTCGAAGTTGATTAATAGGCGTAAGGTATGCGATGTAAGAAGGTATAACATGGAGAGAATTGAACACGCTCTGAAAAACGGAGAAAGCATCAAAGCAGTGAAGAGGAAACTTGGGATAGGCAAAAATCGGATGTATGCACTAAAGGACAAACAAGGCAAAATGACCACCAATATGGATAGGATAGTTAAAATAGAGGAGGAGTTTTACAGAGATCTGTACAATAGCCGAGACAACGACTACCCTAATACTATAAGAACTAGCAGTAACTCAGATGAGACCTCACCAGTAATGATAGAAGAAGTCAGAAAAGCTTTGGAGAGCATGCAAAGAGGTAAATCTGCTGGTGAGGATCAGGTAACATCAGATCTGCTGAAAGATGGAGGACAGATTGTGTTAGAAAAACTAGCCGCCCTGTTCACGAGATGTCTCCTGACGGGAAGAGTACCAGAGTCTTGGAAGAACACTGCTAACATCGTCTTAATACATAAGAAAGGAGATGACAAGGACTTGAAGAATTACAGGCCGATCAGCTTGCTCTCTGTAGTATACAAGCTATTTACAAAGGTAATTGCTAACAGAGTAAAGAAAACATTAGAATTCGATCAACCAAAGAAACAAGCAGGATTTCGAACAGGATACTCAACAACTGACCACATTCATACTATCAATCAGGTAATAGAGAAATGCTCAGAATATAACCAACCACTATACATAGCCTTCATAGAATAGATTACGAGAAGGCGTTTGATTCAGTAGAAATAGCCGTCATGCAGACACTGCGGAATCAGGGCGTAGATAAAGTATATATAAACATTCTGGAAGAAATATACAGGGGATCAACTGCTACCATAGTGCTTCATAAAGAAAGCAACAGAATACCAATCAAGAAGGGTGTAAGGCAGGGGGACACAATCTCCCCAATGCTATTTAACGCGTGCTTACATGAGGTTTTCAGAAGCCTAGAATGGGAACAGTTAGGGATAAGAGTTAATGGAGAGTACCTTAGTAACCTGCGCTTCGCTGATGACATTACATTGCTGAGTAACTCAGGGGACGAATTGCAACTCATGATTATGGAGTTAGACAAGGAGAGCAGAAAGGTGGGTCTTAAAATTAATCTGCAGAAAACGAAAGTAATGACAAAAATTCAATATAGAGCTAACCATTTCAATACTCCAAGACAGCAGTGTCTATTTTAAAGGAATACTGAATAAAGCTTTTGCTGCCAAGATTTTCAGCTAAGTTGAAAGATTGGATCCTGAAATCGATAGACGTAAACTTCATTTCAGACAAAAACTACAAGAAAATAGTTAATTTAATGCGTTTTTCACAAACTGCTGTTTTTAGCATCTCCGCCATGAACAAGAGAAGGTGACGTCAGATACACTCGAAACAGGCAAGCCAACAATTCCAGCCATCGCCCATGTCTCTCGACCCACTCAGCTCCCCCTATGGTTCCCGGCTGGAATAAAGCATCAGTGCTTTTGTGAAAGAGGGAGAGTGGGATGAAATTTTGTAGTGGTGAGAAAAGAAAAAAGTCGGACAGGAACCTTGCATGCGCCTCCGTGAATGTGATGTCACAGCTCGTGCTTGCGTGCCGCCGCCAAGCGCTGAGAATCCATAAAAAATACAGCCAACTTTTCATAAATATAGGAAATTAACTCTGTTTATTATCAGAACAGTCATATCTTTTGAGTAAAACCTAGATGTTTTCATCAGATTTTCCAATTTTTTGTTTAGTATCTCTTTGACATTACTCAAATTTTAAAGCTCTGTGAAGTTAGATGAATGGTAAAGATACATGTTACATCAGCTGAGATAAGTATGGCTTTCTGAAAACTTTCTCTTTATTTTGAAGGCAGCAAAATGGTTGCAAGCAATGGAGAAAATCAATGCCGAGCTTCTGCTTTTGTCAATTATGCAACAAAGCTGTGGCACAACTATGTTGGATATAATGCCAAGGATTTCATGGCATTTACACTCACCAGTACCATTCTTATAAAAGAAAATGTGTTTAGTATCAGCATTTTCCACGTTAAGTCTCTACATTCTTTTGAATGCTAAGTCACTATTTACTGACAAACAAACCGTAAAGAGTGGACTGTTTCAAAATCAGTGGTGACACAAGACAGCTAGGTGGTGCTTAACTCAATTTTTTTTACTCTATTCTTTCTGGCTTACCACATCTTTGATACCAGAAGAACTTGCCTTTGCAGTTTGCCATATTAATCTACCAACATATCACAACTTGCCTTTGTAGTTTGCCATATTAATCTACCAACATATCACAGCTGGGCATGTCATTCCTATTCAGTTGCCTTTTGAGTTTCCCCCACAAAAATACAAACAAATATGTCGAGAATCAGAGAAGCTCAAAAGTAAGCTAGCATAGTACATAAGTAAAAAAGGACTTGTTCTTAGGTAAGTTGATGCTTCGATTGCAGCAGTTCAGCAATCTAACAATCAAAAACATCTAAGTGCATCAGTATAGTTCTAACTGATTAGCAATGATGGGTGAATAAAGTAATAGCATCAGATATCTTTAAGGAAGTAGTCAAGCTTAATTACTGTAATTACTCGAATCTAACGCGCACCTTTTTTCCGGTTAAGCAAGTTCATGAATCGCATGCGCGTTAGAATCGAGTACGAAAAAAAAAAATGAATACGGTCATTCTATTGCCATCGGCATTTCCAAAATGGCCGCCCCCTACGTGCGTCGGCGTGGTGCGTCGGCCATTTCTGCCTATGTGTTTCCCATGTGCGGCACTTCGTACGTGTGCTGAGGAGTTCGTCATCTTGTAGTGCATTAGCATCGACGGCATGGAAGGGCC